CAGCGTTGAGTTCGCCAACAGCACACTCGAGTGCAGCGGCATCGCGCCATGCAGCACGATCGTGCCCTCCAGCGACGTCACGTTCGTCATGTTGGCGAGGACGTGCGGCATCGGACGCGCCGTGCTCTCGCTGAGGCCACCAATCCGCAGCTGCGCGCCGCCCACAAGCACGCAGTGGCGCAGCGTCACGTTCAGCGCGTCAGCGAACGCGTCCATCGAGCGCAGGTCCACCGCCACAGTGATCGGTCCGCTGAACACCACCGAGTCGAAGCACGCCGTCGCCCGTCCGCCGCCAACCGTCACGGACTCCGTCAGCGTCACGCCACTCACACAGCCCTGCGAACCACCACCACCGCCGCCGGCCCTCGCAAGCGGCACGTCGAACGGCAGGCACGACTCGCCCACGCCGCCGGCACGGCAGCCGCACACGCAGTCGGTGAACGACGCCGTCAGTGCATCGAAGCACGCCAGCGCTGCCGCACAGCCGTCGCACGGCACCACGCTCACGGAGGGCAGACCGGCCAAGCGGTAGTCGCCGCTGCTCTGCAACACCCGGCCGCCGGCACGGTTGCACTGCACCGACACGGCGGCGCTCGTGATCGTCGGCTCGGAGACAAGCGTCGCGCCAGTGGCAGCGCAGCGCGCAATCGACACGGCACCGCCGCCCAGCGTCACCCCAGACAGCGACGCCACCGACGACGCCTCGCCCACCGCCCACACGTCGCGCAGCTCCAGCCACCCGCCGGCACCGATCGTCCCACCGTCGCAGCGCACCAGCGACGACGCGACAGGCCCCTCGACGCCCACGAAGCGCAGCACCGAGTCGGACACCGCGAGGCGTTCGCCAAGCACAATGCCGCCGCCGCTGCTCACAACCGAGACGTTCGTCACGGAGAACACCGAGTGGCTCCGCAAGCTGAGACGCGACAAGGATGACACACGCAACGCGGACGCGGTCGCACCGCCCGACGCCTCCAGTGACACGCCGTCAAGCACCACCGCGCTCGACAGCAGCTCCACGTCACCGCCAACGTACACCGCCGACCCGCCCGCCTGCAACGACCTCAGCACAGTGTTGCTCACACGCAGCTGCGACTGCAACAGCGACGTCGCGTGCAGCACAAGCGGCGACGCCACCGCGTCCGTCAGCCCGCTCAGCTGGGAGTAGCGCATCGGCCCCGCCGTCACAATCGTCGAGTCACGGACCGCCACGTTCGTGTGTGCCGGCAGGTTGTGCACAAACACAAGCGAGCAGTATTCGCCGGACAGCCCGCTCACGCTCACCTCCAGGCTCCGGTCACTCGCCGGCTCGCCGCTGTAGCCCCGCACGTAGATCTGCGCACCGCCGTCGCACACGCAGTTCCTCAGTTCGATGCGCAGCGCACCGGGAAGCATCGCCGCAACGTCAAACACCACAGCCACGCCGTTAGTGATGTACACGCCGTCCATCAGCACCGTGTCCACGGCGCAGCCAACCGTGATGGCTCTGTCCACCGTACCGCCCCGCAGTCGCAACACCACCGCATGCACTGCGGGCATCCACGCCGCCGCCGCAACCAGCGCCAACACAACAAGCAGCACCACACGCACAGCCGCAATGACCCTGCGCTGCACACGGTGTCGGCCGCGCGGACACGCGCCCACCGCAGACCGCATCCACCGACCCAGAAACATAACAACAGGGCCGTCGTGGTGTGTCGCACTCGCCCCGTCGACCATAATTCCAGCTTTCACAATCCCTTCCTACAGATGGCGAATCCAGTGACACGATTCCGCCAGATCGTTATCCCACTACTACTGCTACTAAACCCAATACTGCAAGTAATCCCTAACACCTTGAAACGATAGTTGTGCTGGTCAAGCAAAAGTATCTCTAACTGCATGCTCAGAAAAAGAATAAAAGGCAGCAACAACAGTAACCAAACACAGTGGCACGCAGAGGCATCCGGTCATACACAATAGCCATTACATTACAGCCGCCGACACAAAGCAGTGCAGACGCAATCAAGTCAGTGACACCATTGCCCTCCCACCGCCCACACAGCCCCGTACAGCCACCGCGCCGAGTGGCGGAATCCCGGCAAAAAGCCACATGACCACTGGCACCGCTCCTGTTACCGAATGGCTGCATCACAGGGCGGTCCCGATGCCGTGCACGACACACAAGAGCCGAGGCAGACCACGTGGCAGCGTTACGACCGCCAGCCATCAAGCGCGTCCGAAAGGTGCTGTTGTTGGTGGTGCGTAAGTGGAGTGGAGAGCTCGCCGGTCGCCAGCAGCAAAAGCGTCTTTTCTTGTTCACGCGAGTCGGCATTGCACAGCAGGCAGCGGCAACATGCGCGCACGGCATACACAACAAAGGAAAAATAAAGAAGCACGGCGGCACTCAAACACGGGGAAAAGGGTCCACATCGATTGCACATTCCGATTGGCTCACAGACATCCGGATGGTGGTCGCGCCGCTGCTCTGCGGTGCGTGTGGCGTGTGACTGCAGCGGACTGAGGGGATGAAGAGAGTGGTGGGAGACGCAGCGCGGCCCTCATCCATCTCGGTTAACTGTGACACCGATGACGTCATCCCGTCACATCGCCTGCAGCAAAGACCGTCGCCGTCAGCAGCGGTCGGCGCCTTCCCTCTCCCACTGGGGCGCAACTCCACCGACGCAGTCGCTCGTCTCCTCCCCCACCAACACAACGAGGGAGCAACGGCAAAAGATGAGACACGCACGGCAAGCGCGCAGTCGCAGATCCCACTGCTGCCGCCATGGCCAAACAGGGTCGGCTGCAGGGCGCAAAAAGAAGGGCAAACACCCCATCAAACGCTTTGGCACCACGTGGAAGCACCGCAACCGAAACACAAGGCGAAGCGCCGTGAAGCAGGCACCAAAACCAAAGCTCCTACAACAAATTCACCGTGAAGCAAAAGAAAATATTATGCGAGCGCAGAAGAAATTCACACAAACTGAAAAACAACAATGACGACGCAGAGGCAATAAATGGTCGTGGTGCGCAGCAGCCGTGGCATCGCGCCCCCCTCTCATCAAACGGCACCGCACCACAACGCAGCGTGACGACAGCCTGCAATGACGACGATTGAGTAGCACGCACAAAGCGGCATAAACCTTTCATCCCGCACTCGCGCAAATTTACGCTCTCAGTATGTACTGCCAACGACATCGGGAAGGACACGGAAGGGGACTGTCCTCTCCATCCTCCTTCTGCTCACAACAGACCCTCCCCATCCTTCTCCTCGCTACGCCCTGGGTGCCGCGCAACGCCGTCAAGCAAATCCACTTCCATGGAAGCCCCCAATGCGCAGGGCAAGTCTAGCAGCCACCCACGCTCACTCTCCCGCTCACATTTCCCCTCCCACAACTTTTCCACACACAAAAGGGCAAAGACATGGAAAAGAAAAGCCTGCAGCACAACGCATGCAGAAGCAACGCCATACACGCCGCACCGCAAAAAAAAAAAAAAAAAAAAAGCGGCCGCAACAAGAGCGACGGGTCGAATTCAAATCCACGGCGCTGCGCTTTACTTCTCTCCTCCCCGATGGATTGGCGTCTCACACTCACAGTGAGGCACGGCGCACACCATCCGCTCCCCTCCGTGTGCACTCAGAAGTCCGGCGCACAGTCACCCTCGTGCCATCGCAATGGGGAGCACAAACAATCGTCGTCGCGGACCATCAATGCCTCTAACAGAAAAGAAAAAGAAATGAGGGCATGTCAACAGCACAGCCAGCAGGGAGACACTCAACGGGACGCGGGGACACTCAGCGACAGTGAAGACAGCACAAACAAAGAAATGAACCGCAGTGAATCAACAAAACAAAAGAAAAAAAAGGTGAGAGTCCAGAAGAACTCCCAAACAACATAAAAAAGTGAACACAATGATTCGGGAAGACGTGTATTTCATGTGCCAAGCAGCACAATACGACCGTGTGTTTGTGTATACATATTGCCCTCAACAATAAAAAGAGGTCAATAAAGGACTTTACTGTCCCACCAGCCCACACAACATCCTCCACATTTCATGCGGCATCCGGCCTGTTCTTCAAATCCTCGTTTCGTGCAGTCCATGGGACGCACAGCCGCAGGGCCGGCACCGCGTGTGGGCAACAAAAAGCAAACAAGAGGGGGAAACACTTCGCTCATTACAGTGTGCAGAAGACAGCCATTAAGTAAGGAAGTCACTGAGGATGCACAGTGGTCCGTCGGCAATGCGTCCGGCACAGCTCTCCGCCCTTCATCACCGCACGGTGGCAGCGGCACACACCCATCCACAGAAAAGAAAAACACGGCGGCAGGGTGTGGCTGTGTGTGTGTGGCGCTGCGGGTGTCTGCCCGCCCTGGCCGCAAAAAAGAAAACAAAACAAGAGGGAAAGAAATGTGTGCTCCGCCCCACAGGCCCTCGTCGCACGCCCACACGTCACGGCTCCCTCAGCGCGCCGTTCGTCGCGGCCCCTCCTCATGCGTGCAGCAGGCGAGGCGCACAGGGCCGTCGTCATGAGCGTGTCGGTGGGTGTGCGAGTGGAGCAGTTGGGCGGGAAACACACGGCACCCCTCACAGGAAGAGTGCAGCAGAAACAATTAAAAGAGGGAAGAGTAGAAAAAGTGGAAAAGAAAACGTCCACAGTGATTGCCCACAAAAGCAAAAAAGAGGGATGAAGGAGAAAAGGACAAAAATAATAATAAAACAATAATAAAAAAAAAAACGAGAAAAGCAACTAAGAACTTAACGCACATAAAGCAAGAAAAGAAAAATAAAAGTTATTTGAGAAGAGATATTCATTGCCAGGTGTGTTTGTGTGTGGTGCAAAAGAGGGCGCCAACGGGCCTGCATGGGTGTGCATGCATATATACAATGGGCACATTATGTGTGTGCTTCGTGGGGTGAGGTGAGGGCGAGAGTCCATGCAAGGGGACACACACAGAGAGAGTGAGTGAAAGAAGGACGAGTGTGTGTGCGGGCGGTGCACGGCTCTCTCTCCCTCACTCTCACGCGGCCACCACCGCAGCAGCCGCACACGCAACAACAAGAAGAAGCAAAAGAGGGGAGGTGGTGTGGTAGACCGCGGTGCTGCCGTCACTGTCGCCAGGTGTCGTGTTTATTTGATTAATGGTGTTTGCGCCAGTTATGGTTTCTTTTTCTTTGCCTGGAGGATTCTCTTGATGTTGTTCCTTTTGTTTCTCTCGTTCCTCTTCTGTTTCATCATCCTTTTCTTCCCCAGCTCTTTGTTTGATTCCTGTCGGAGTTTCTCCTGCATTTTTGTGTTGGACTTCCTGCTGAATATCAGTTGAATTTACTTTCGGGGCACCTGAGACATGTGCAGCCTCTTCTCTCTCCTGAGCCCGATGTCTTTCATCATCCTTTTCTTCTCCCCCTTCTCTTTCATTAGAACCATCATTGCCGTTGTGTTCTCCCGAAGAATGATCTCCTGCAGGGTTACTGGGTGTTTTTGCTTCAACTTTTATTTGTTGGTCTTTTCCCTGCGTCAGTTCATGTCCTTCTCCACTTTTTGTATCCTCTTCTTGGACTGGATGTGGGTTATCTTGCGGCTGTGGTCCACTTCCTTCATTTAGTTTGGTTACTGCCGCTTCACCATCACCAACTGTTTCTAGTCCTTCTTCTTCTCGGCGTTGCTTTTCAGGTTGCAGTACAATTTCATTTACTCTTTTCAAGTCTAAATCATCTTCTTGTTGTGTTCCTCCTCCTCCTTTTGATTTCTTTGGCGATGCTGATGGTGGTGGAATTTCTTCTGCCGATGTTTGTGGTACTTCATCTTCATCAGAACCAGCTACTTCTTTTGTCAAAAGGACTTCTTTATCTGTTTCATCGGTTTGTTCATTAACATCTGATGCTCTTAAAACTGAGTTGTGTGATCCTCCATTTACAATTGTTGGTGGCTCCTGAAAACTTTTGCCGTCACTCGCAGAGGCACCAGGTGAAGTTACACCTGCATCATCCTCAGCATGAACACCGCCGGCACCGCACCACAGCACGCAGAGGGCACACACCAGCAGCACACGGCCAGTCATCATCATCGCCATCACTCCTGTCACTTGCGTGTAGCCTTCAGCACAAACTAACAACACGTCAACGCAGAGTGAAAGCAAAGGGTGAGAGAAAAGTCACACAACTACGTACAGTAACAAAAGGCAGCACCCCAGCAGCAGCAGCGCACAACATATGCCAGAGGGAATCAGTAAGGGCAAGAAAAAGCGCACCACCCTGCATATCAGAATTTATTTAAAAAAAAACACACACCCAAGGCCTCGCTGCGCATGCATATAAGTGTTTCTGCGATGCGTTCAACGTGACGAATGTGGGAAGCAACGCGGAGCACACAGCAGGGCAGCGGAAGCAAACAAAGCAAAAAACAAGCATCATAATTACTCTTACTTTATACATCGGACCACAGTAGACGTACACATGTCCCCGTGGCTAAGTGCTGGCACGCACAGCCCGCACACACCTCTTCAGCCCACAGCGGTGTACGCCAGCGCGGATACGGCGAGCAGCAGCGGGGCACACACCCACGCAGAGCTGCTGAGGCTGCCGTCGATTTCGCGAAGACGTGACGGTGCGCGGGTGGTCGTTGTAGTTGTAGTTGTAGTTGTCGTGGTAGTTGGTGGTGTCTGTGCCTTAGCCTCTTTGTTATTTTTTGACTCATCCGTAGCTTGCTCTAGATTGTTTACCAACGACTCATGAGACTTATCAGTTGAACCTGTCGGATGGGTTTTTTTACCGTCTAACCCTGACTGACCTGACACACTTGTACCTCCCTGCTTAGTAGGCGACTTCTCTGATGGCTCTCCCCCAATGGCCGCAACTTGTTTATTTAACGCATCGGTCATAACCGGTTCCGGTGCTTTACGAGTAGCTAAACCTAAGGCACTGTTCTCCGGACCTGGTGCGTCCGGTGATGGCGGTTCACTGGGGTGCCACCTGGTTCCGCGTCAACCGCTGTCACGCACACGGGCGCACGGGCAGCAGCACAAAGCAAGCACCAACAGGGCGCACAGCAGACGGCACGTCATCATCGTGAGTGTGGTCGTTCGGTGGTGTGGAGCTGATCTGCACAGTGAGGGACATGGAGAGCAACAGGGGAGACGAGAGGTGCGGCAGACACACACAGAGGGCACACCACATGAGGAGAGGGCAGCAGCCAGGCATGCACCGTACGCCGCACACCACGCACGACACACACAGCCCTGCCGCAACACCAACACACAGATGGAAGAGGTAGAGGCAAACAGGAGCGGCACACAAGGTTCCACCGCACGTACACATACGGCGAGGGCGGTCCGTCGTGTCTGCACCCCTCACGGAGGGTACACACACAAGAGGAGGTGCAGCGCACACAGCAACACAAAAGCAAAGTAACAATTAAAAAAAGGAGATCCCCTCACACCACGTGGATTGTTGGTCCACGGGAAGCGCAGCCAATATTCATCAAAAAAACAATTCGTTTCTGTTTTTTTTCGTTGTGTGTTGTGAAAACAATTACTGAGTACCGCAAGGGCCGTCCGTACCAAAGTGGCAATGACTCCGTCGCATACGGGCCGTCGTGCATGCTGGGCATTCCCAAACAGTCGCAGTCCTTACTCTCAACAACGAAGGCATTCCCACAGTCGATGAAGCGAAGTATCCCGTGGTTCGTCGTGGGATCAGCAGCCCGTGGCGTCTGTGATGAAGCGGTGGCGGAAGAGCAATGGTTGTCATTGGAGCTTGCAGATGTGCTTTGTCCGTTTTTTTCCCGTTGATACGCTTGGCATTTTCGGGGGCGACCTGTTCTTAAGGCGCCTCTCGATATGGCGGTGGCGCCATTGTGGCAGCCGCATGGGAGACCTTCTCAACTATCGGAACGCCAGGCTGAGCATGTCGGGCGCGTGCTTCCATATTGTGGACGGGCGAGCGCACTCTGCCGCAGATTGGGCAGGAGGACGTCAATCCGCCGCTCGCTGGTCGGCAAGGGGTGGCGGCGTTCACGTCGGGAAGATGTTCCGGCGGAGGCGGAGGCAGGCCGGTCTCCTCGGTGAGAAAGCGGCGCCACCGACACAGAGAGTTCCTTGTGATCTGCAGGGCGCGTGCGGGCCTGCCGAAGAGCGGGCAGGAGTCGCATCGCGCCTGTACGGAGTGCCGCAACTCGGGGCACGATGTCGGGGTGGACGCCAGGAAGAGAGTCCTCGCCACACCGAAGAGCGCCTGTCATGCGGTGTGCGCGTCTTCCTTTTCCTCCTGGACATCCCTCCCGTACGGTCGCCTGACTGCGGTGAGGAAGCCCACGTGCCAGGCATTGGCGCAGTCATGCGGGAAGGATCGCGCCATGACGGCGTCAGCGTCCGCTGTCACGTTGCGTGGGATTCCGCAGTGCCATGGGGAAAATGTGGAGCCAACAGTGCGACCTCGATCCGCCAGTGAAGGCGGCATGGCGCAAATTCCCTCGCTGACGTCGTCGTGCACCGCCAGCGGGCCAAGGCGGAGCGCCTCCACCGCCGAGAGGGAGCCTGTGGCGGCAGGAACTCTTGTGGGCGATTGGGATGCTGCTGCCAGGCGGGGAAATGAAGAAATGTCCGTGGCCGTGCTTGGTGAAAAGACACTCCGCTTGGCAGGGCCGTGCAAGGCAACCAGCAGCTGTGCGGTGGAGACCTCGCAGGGAGGTCGGCCTTCCGGGGAGTCAAATGGCAGCGCAGCGGATCCAGACGCATGCTCAGCGAGAGACGGGCCGTCCGTTCAGCGGCCTGCGTCATGCGGTCGCAGAGAGGCGCAGGCCGCTTCAAGGGCCGATCGTCTGACGCCGTCCAGGGTGTCATGGGCACGCCGCGGCTGGAAGACGCACACCTCGTTGCAGCTCACAGCGTCCCAGGCGGCAATACGCTGCTCAGCATGAGAGGCGCGAATGTGGTCCGGGGAGACCCCCATTTGACTGCAAACACGTCGCGGTTCCTTGGGGACGGCATCGCCCGGCAGCGGAATGCTCGTCGCCGCCTTCCCATGCATCCACGGAGGCATGGCACTGTCCGCATTTCGGTCTGGCTAAAGAACTTTTGTTTTATTCTCATTGTGATAGTGAGGCGCGCGCGTCTCAGAGCGCAGGACGCGTTGCAGACGCACAGCGTCATTTGGAACAAACGATTAGCGTCCGTCACCGCGAAGGCGACAACAAATGCCCCGGATGACAGCGGGAGCACATCGATTCCTCCTGGTCTTGCAAATCGAGCTTATTTGTCAGGGCGCTTGTATTCAATCTTTTGCAGCTCTTGGGGCTATTGTGAGAGAAGGTGGGAGGTTGAGGGCATTTGGACTGAATACTTTTGAGTGGCTGCGTTCCGCTGACTTGTGGCCAGTCGTTGAACTCTTTTGGGGTTTGGCAGCTCGTCTCTTTTGTTTACTTCCCACTGCAGCACGTGGATAACACTGTTCCGACGAAAATTTGTTTGACCGCGTGTGGGCTGCTGCCGTGCGTGGTGCATGGACTATTTGATTGTGTGGGGAGGTGCATGGAGTGACGAATACTTCTGTTTGGCGTGTCGCGGTGTGTTGGAATGATGTTCGGATGACATGTGGAGGGTGTTTTTTGTGATTTGTGTGTCTTCTCTGGTGGAGCCGACATGTGTGCGGGGATTGTGGCGTTGCTGGCTGGCAGTTCCACTTCACTTTTCGGCATTCCTGGATGTGCTGAGGAATGACGGCTGGCGACCAGCGTGTTGGTGCTGCTGGTGGAATAAGTGCATCGGGAATAGGCCACTTTCTCTTTTCCGTGCTGGAGCCGATGAACTGGCACGAGGGCACCGGCTGCAGGCGGTCGTGCCAGCACGTGTGAGCAGCGGATCCATGCACACACAGACGCTCATCGCAAGAGCTTGTACGATCACAGTGGCCTTTTGTGGCGTGCTTTTATGGACGTCAGCAATCGAGGAATGTGTGAAGCAAACGGCTGACTGCACACGAGGAAAATAAGTGCGTGCACTGTGCCGTGTTTCAGCGTCGGTGGCAGAGCGACAGGAAGCCCGTGCTGGCAACTGAGATCTTTGCGTCGCGAGGGATGTCGGTGTTGATTTTGGATCGTCGAGGGCGAAGTGATTTTGCTGCTGCCCGTGTGTGTGGCCACTCCGGCACAGGGCGAACACAACAGGGAGGATGCAGGCGCTGCGTGTGTGTGTGTGTGTGTGCAGGTGCCATGCAACAACGTCACAACAAACATGCTGCGACTCGGTGACCCTCACATCGTTGTGGTCCTCACGAACAGCCGAGGCACGGCCCACACCGATGCACTCAGTGGACGGAGTGAGGCATTTTTTGAGGCGCTGCAGGGAACAGGTTGCGTTGACGCAGCCACGACGTGCATGGAGTGTCACGATGTCACAGTCGGCTGTGGCTGGTGGAATATTTACTTCTCGGAGGCAACAGAGAGAGAGAGCTGCTGCTCCTGCCGCTGGCGTCGTTGCTGCCTTTTGTGGCCTCCCATGCCGATTATTGTCTGTCCGCTGATCACGGGTGGCATGCCTCCACTAGTGACGTCGTCTGCAGGCATTTCACAGCACCAGTGAAACACACATCACGTCGCATGCCTTGGCTGTGGATATGGTGTCGTGAGTGCAGCCGGCATTATTTTGCCCGACTCCTTTCCACTGCTTTGCGACGAATAGATGCGTCTCCGCCCGAGTCATTCACTGCAGCTCCGTGTGTTGTACTGCCAGCACAATACTCTCTTGTTGTCTGACGCCTGGCTGACAGTCAAGCACCACTGCGTTGGGACATGCAGGGATGTGGACTGCCGCTCACGGTGTTGGCCACCGCTGTTTGGATGCGGCGGCCACACGAGCGGATGTATTGTGGCACAATGGAATGCGTGAAGTGCGCGGAATCACAGCGGCTGCAATAATATCAAAGGTGTGGCGCCACGGAATATGTGAGAGGGTGATGCATGATGAACCACAGTGGGCGGCATGCGAGGGAAGTGCACCGCGACGAAGCGTCACCCCGCCCTCAGCCTGCAGGGGAATGTGCACCCACAAAATATATGGACGAGACACCACCAAACACACATGCCCTTCCATGCACCAATAAATAGGAGCGAAGGTGCGTTCTGGTGTGTGGGAGTCCACTCACATATTTTTATTTCCACCACAATAAACGGTGAGGAATCAGGTGCCACAGCAACGAAAAGAAGGTGACATCTACTGCAACAATTTACCAGCAAAAGGCAGGAACATCACAAACCGAATTCTTGGCTGCACCAACACAAGAAACATTCACAAGAGGAAAAAATAATTGTGCACTCTGCAGGAATCCTCAACACACGACCAGGCATGAAGGTTTACCCTCCGGAAAAACAATAACAAAAAATGCGGAGATCTGCCAACACTCAAACAGAAACACAAATAAATGATTGGTTGCATTATTCCATTCCTTGCGCTTATATTTGCGTGTGCGGCTGTTGCTGTGGTGGTGGCCGTGCTTGCATGAAGTGGTGTGCGCTGAATGTGAACGGAGGCCAAAAGCCAACTGAATTGTTCGTGTGATGAATGTTGGCTGCACTTCCCGTGGACCAACAATCCACGTGGTGTGCGGGGATCTCTCCTTTTTATTATAGTTACTTTGCTTTTGTGTTGCTGTGTGCGCTGCACCTCCTCTTGTGTGTGTGCGTACCCTCCGTGAAGGGTGCAGACACGACGGACCGCTCTCGCCGTATGTGTACGTGCGGTGGAGCCTTGTGTGCCGCTCCTGTTTGCCTCTCCCTCTTCCTTCTTTGCGTTGGTGTTGCGGCAGGGCTGTGTGTTTTTGTGTCGTGCGTGGTGTGCGGCGTACGGTGCATGCCTGGCTGCTGCCCTCTCCTCATGTGGTATGCCCTCTGTGTGTGTCTGCCGCACCTCTCGTCTCCCCTGTTGCTCTCCATGTCCCTCACTGTGCAGATCAGCTCCACACCACCGAACGACCACACTCACGATGATGACGTGCCGTCTGCTGTGCGCCCTGTTGGTGCTTGCTTTGTGCTGCTGCCCGTCCGTTTGCGTGACAGCGAATGAAGTTAATGGTGCCCCAAGAACTGACCACGCTGTGCCAAAGGTACCAGAGGTACCGGAACCAGGCAAAAAAGAAGAGAAACCAGGTATTGCGAATGGTACGGAAAATACACAAGATTTGCCAACCGGTGGGTCGTCCAACAATCAAGTTGTATCAGATACGTCTGGTCAGTCAGCGTCACAGGTTTCTGGCGTTCCGCTACAGCCAAGTACTGTACCAACCGTTGCGTCAGGTGCACAAATTGTGCCGATTCTACCCGAAAAAAAAGAAGAAAAGAAGACGACTGCATCAAAGACCACGACCACCACAACCACAAAGGCACCAACTACGACTACGACTACAACTACGACGACCACGACGACCACCCGCGCACCGTCACGTCTTCGCGAAATCGACGGCAGCCTCAGCAGCTCTGCGTGGGTGTGTGCCCCGCTGCTGCTCGCCGCATCCGCGCTGGCGTGCACCGCTGTGGGCTAAAAGGGAGCGTGGGCTGTGCGTGCCAGCACTTAGCCACGGGGACATGTGTACGTCTACTGTGGTCCGATGTATAAAGTAAGAGTAATTATGATGATTGTTTTTTGCTTTGTTTGCTTCCGCTGCCCTGCTGTGTGCTCCGCGTTGCTGCCCACATCCGTCACGTTGAACGCGTCTCAGTCACACTCATATGCATGACACGCACACGACTGTTTAAGTGGACGCACCGTTGAAGATGGGTGTAAGCGCACTGGAGCCATTTGGGCGCAGGTTTTTGTTTTTACTATTTTGCTTCATTGCTGCTTGTTTTCTTTTGTTTTGTTTCTTCCTTGCTTTGTGCGTTTTTCTTCTTGTTAAATTATTGCAGGTCGCTGTGCGTTTTTTGCACTTTCATTGGTTCAATATTTCTCATGAAATGCGTGCTGCTGCTGCTGGTGGTGGTGTTTTTTGCTGTGCCGTGTCTTTTTGCTTTCACTCTGCGTTGACGGGGAGGTAGTTTGTGCTGAAGGCTGCACGCAAGTGACAGGAGTGATGGCGATGATGATGACTGGCCGTGTGCTGCTGGTGTGTGCCCTCTGCGTGCTGTGGTGCGGTTTATCTGTGGTAGCCAATGGTGATACTGATGATCTTCGTAATGGCAGGGACGAAAAGAATGCGGAACAGTTATCTTCTTCAGATCTGAGTTTACCAGTGAGGCAGGGAGAACCAACAGCGGCAGCGGGAGGAGGAGGAGGATCTAAAAACTCACAGGAAGGGAAGGATGCTTCGATGCCAATCACGGACATAAGTGTCCCACAAGAGCAGGAAGTGAAGTTAGATGCCGGTCCACACAAACCAACTGGGAATGAATATGAAAATAAAGGGTCGACGGAAGCTGGAGCTGACACGAGAAAACAAACAGTACCTCCACCACTAACACATGCTCCTTCTCCTCCTCCAGAAGGACCACCACTATTGTCACCATCAGAAGAAGAAGAAGATGAACTAAAAAAAAGCAACACAAGACCAGGATAGTCCAGTCGAACACAAATCTACACAAAATAATAAAGTATTAGAAGAAGAACCGGGACACGAACTGAACACCCAAAACCTACCGCCAAAAGAACAACACACATCCGAACAACTTCAAGAGAACCAAGAAAACGGAAAAGAAAAACAACGATCAGGACAACTGGAACATCGAGAACATCGAGAAGAACTAAAAGATCAGCAACAAAAACAGGAAAAACAACATGAAGAAAGCATAAAACATGAAGAAGAACAACAGCAACAAAAAGATGAAATACAAGATCAACAAAATCAACA